AGGGAGGGAGAATTGAAGAATACGCCAGTAGGCAAACACAAAAACAAAGCAGGATAATGAATACGGACGGGGAAGAGAAGGGGAAGAAAGGGAAGAAAGAAAAGGAAACGACAATGTGCCGCAACCTGTTCAAGCCTTGACAGCATAGTGAGTGAGTGGGCGACGAGAGTGATCTTGTTTGATTTCAAGGAGAGAGAGAGGAGAGAATCGATCTCGCAAACTTCAATGGGAATGCTGTCGAGCTCGTACTCGTCGAGGTCCTAGAAACATAGGCCGCGTCATCCACAGAAGATTCAGAGTACCTCCTGTCCTTACCAGCCTTCTTCTTGTTTCAGCATTGCGAAGTAATCTTAGATAATGGAACGTGAAGTCTTTTCCCTTTGTTGTGATAGCAGGAGGAGGTGACCTGCAAGAAATGTTTCAAAATGTTTTCGTGAACATTATGCCATGGTCACAGGCAATGGGAACATCAGTGATAACAATGCAAACATCAGTGACAAGACTTACTGCAGGTACGAGATGTCGTATGTGATTGAGTTCAGCGGCCACAACGCTAGAGAAACGGGGATCCTGACAAGTGGGTTCGAGTCGATGCGAAGGTCTTCCATGGACTTCAATGAGTCAATGTTCTTTGGGAGGTTCTTCAATAGATTGCCGGATGCTCGCAAGACTTTGAGCAACTTGCAATCGCAGATCTCGTCAGGGAGCACAACGATTTGGTTGAAGCTGATGTCCAGCATTTCGAGTGACGTCAGTGAGCGTATAGAGGCGGGGAGGTATTTGAGTGCATTATCATTCGCTTTGATCTCTTTCAGCTGGCACAAACGGCTGATATCTGGAAACTGATCAATCTCGTTGCTTTGAAAGCTCAGACGAGTCAAGCTAGTCAGTTGGGATACAACTTGCGGGAGGGATCCAATTATGTTGTTGGAATCCAATGCAAGGGAAGCGAGGGCAACGAAGCTGCAGAGCTCGTCTGAGATGTTCGACAACCTGTTCCCTGAAAGCTTTAAGGAAGAGATCAACTCGACAAGACGCACTTCTCTGCCCTCTGCTTCATGTTTCTGTGTTAGAACCTCCTCTGGCAACACTTCTAAACCCAGGTTTGTCAGGTCCAACTCCCCAGTTGAGTATGCATGCAACATGGCAGTGGCTGTCGGATTGTTCCCTGGATCTCCATCCTCTTCAACGATCTCGTCTTTCTCGTCTTTATCTCCAAGACTGCTTCTGCTTTCCTTCCTTGCGGGCATCTCGGCCGTCCTGTGACTGACCTGTCTTTCTCCACAGGGATCCTTCACATCTTGAAGATGCGGAGCATCTGAGCAAGAAATCGAGACAGGACAAGTTTCGCTATCATCCTCTTACTCTGCTGTCCCACCACCATCGCCACTAACTCCTCCTCTCCTCACTCTCCTCTTGATTTGTTCTTCCCGCCACCAACTGCCCATGGGTGGAAAAACTCCATAGCTCGAAAATGGGGCCCTCATCCCCCACTGCTTGACGCCCGAGTCGGCGGGCAGGTCGGCGGGCAGGTCAGCGGGCCCGCGCCCGCCGGTCACACTGTGGCCCGGCCGGCCGGCGGGCCTGCCCTGGCCGCGGCAGTGGCGAGAGTCCGAGTCCGCTCCGCCGGAGAATCCGAGACACAGGCTATTCTCTCAGGCATAAAGATTTTGGTACTGACTCTTTTGATACAAAGCATTATTACACTCTGGCAGAAACTGCCAGGCACTACCGTACTACTGTATGTTTCACAATACCGTATGTTTCGTGACTGTATGTTTCACAATACCGTATGTTTCATGCACGAGCCTCGGAGATTGAAGGTAATTGCAGCCTTACTGCACACCGATAGAGCAGCTGAAGTCCAATTTGGGTAGCATGAAAATACTGGAATCGGTGATCCCCTAGCTGATGTCATAACCATGATACTTCTTCCCGGAGTCATCGGGCCTTCCATCTTGAAGCCATTCAGGCTGAACGCATTCCTTCTCAGTAACCCAATGATAAAAAACAATTGTACCATATGATAGAAGAAAAGCTGCCTCAGTCTTGAGTTTGATCGAAACCTTCCGTTTCTGAACGAAAAGAAGTAATGAGGTATCAAGGGATGCTTGATAGGAGACGTGGACTTCAAGGATCTGCAAGGATATCAGCGAATTTTCATCAACTCCTTCGAGCTGAAAACCTGAAGGGATTCAACAAAGACGACAGTAAGCCAACCTCCTCCTTGCAGTCATGAAACCCGAGGCACTCTTCAGCGATGTATCCTGCCTTGAATCATGAGTGCAAAAGCTTTGTTTTTGAAAATAAATGCCTGTTTGCATAAATGGACTTCTATCATCAGCGCTTTCTCCACAAAGGAACGCAGGGCTGTTATAATAGTCAAGCAACCAACCCAACAAATATGATACATACCAGCAGTCAGCAATCCATAATTGCTCGTGGTGCTTTGCAGAACGTTAAGGCCAAACATATTCAGAAGAACTATGACACCTGTTGGATCAACGACACATCACGGGTGTCCGGAAGGATCTGCAACATAAATCATTTTCACGAACAATTGTAGATGTATACAAAGTACGTACATGATAAAAACGTTGAGTCCTTCCTTTTGAAAGCTGGTCTATCTTGTAATGTTTGATCCAGTACTCCGTAGCAAGACACTTGTCATCCCATCCTATCACAACACCTCTAAAACACAAGGTGAACCTTTGATATGAAAATAATCAATAGAGGTCACCACCTGTATCCTAGTCCCTTGTGCTTGACAGTGTCACCGATACGAAATCTCGGAGGACGAAATGACACTCCGAGCGTCGTAAGAATTGGCCGGCTGATGGAGTTTACGTAAAGTCGCACCAATCTCGCTCTTAGGTCCGATACTGACTTCCACCTAGTGCAAATCATGTCAACACCACGAACCTCGAACATAAAACAAGGAGTAAACCTGTTGCTCTCAGCAGCACGAGCAATCTGGACCTCCAACCGTTTCTTCTCGTCCGCAGTGATCATGCGATCAAAAATTTCCTTGGCTTTGCCGTAATCCTGTAGAAAAGCACAAACAATAGTTATTGCTATATGCAATCATGTCTTGAAATAAAAATTTCATAAACAAAAAGGCTTAAATTGCAAAAACACAGTGAACAAAATTAGCTCTCCAATAATTGCAAGACACTGAGTGTAACTGCAGCGATTCCCGCGCGATTATGAAAAGGCAATCGAATTCGGGTAACCATCACTTCATTAATGCCAAAGCAAGCTGAACACTTTCGCCCAACCACAACAGAGGTGCAGTTGTAGCAAAGAAACAAAAGAGCAGAACTAAAATTTCTATCACCTCCTCTGCGATTGAATCTTCCAACTGATCATCCAAGGATTGAGCAAAACCGAATGATGGTCGTCTTACTTTTTTGATTTCCTCCTTGATTCGAGTGTACAGTGAATGATACATTTTTTTGATTTCATGCCCGACCAATTCTTTTTTCAATGCATCAGCCTTCTCAAACTCTTCGGCATTTACAGCATTCTTCATCTTATACTCAACAAGCTTTGCCTGTCAGAAAACACACTTATTGAGACGGATTGATAAGAATCATCAGCAAACCGGATCATGAGCAAGTCGTTCCAACTCTGAATTGTGCAGTACGATCCCTCGTCTGAGCTCGAAGAACATTCGTTCAACTTCTCGGGTATGCGTTTCTTTCTTCAACTCTTCCAGTATCTGTGCTGCATTCTCAAACTCTTCTGCAATGATAGCTTTCTGCAATTCATGCTATAGCTTCAAGTCAGATAGATCGAGTAACTAATTTGCAAATACGACCTCAAGTCTCCTTTTGTCATCAGAAAAAACCTCTTGTTCTTTGATTTTTGCTTGTGCGATCCGGTTATGTAGTTGAGAGTCCAACCAGACATTGTCGAGTCTTTTCCAAATAGCTGAAGAGAGCGTGTTACTGTTTTTGCGCTTTTCTTCTTCCTGCTGTAGCGCAATCTTAATTTCGTTGGCTTTTTCAAAGTCCTCCAAGGCAACATGCAGTCTCAACTCCTGCAGCAATTGTGAGAACGTATATCAAATCCTAGCAATTAAAGCCTTACATTCTCCAGCCTTTTGTGCTTATCTCTTCTAAGCTCTTCATTGAAAGTATTCCTTAACTTGGAAGCTTCGTCCATAACCTTGTGTTCCAATACCTGAGCAAGAATGAGATCATGGAAGCAAACAAAACGAAGGTGAAACCTTCATATTTTGATTATGAAGGGTGTCAAGTTGATTTTTTAGGGCCTTTGCATCATGGAACCTTTCTTCTCGAACAGCTTGGTTCAGCATTTTCTGAATTCAACTTACAATTCTGATGAACAACTGATATCTAAATCACCTTAATCAACAAATAGTTGAGTTGCAGCTGTGAAGTAGAAGCGGGAAGGGCACCATCGTCTGGGGATGAACCTACATTGTTCTTGCGCAAGCCACGATTGCTTTCGTCGTCAGCACCATGGTTTGGCCTTTTGTCCATCATCGCCATGGACAGTCCTAGCGTGCAGTACTTTGTCGAAAGTCAGGAGGAAAATGAGTAGAGGATTATCCAGAAATACCTTTGGATTGACAATTTTACATCTTGGAGTTAACGGGGTTGTGCCTATGAAGGCGAAGGGTTGGGAAAATCTGATGGAGAAAGACGAGCTCTCTGCAAAGAAAGTGGCCAACGTTGCGACAAGCATTGCAACACGCATGCTGCTAGCGCGGCGTGGGGTCGAAATCGATAAAATTACAAATGGCCTGTTCCGATGCCCATGTCCCATGGTCTTTCAATGTACACTGTAGCTGAAAAAGTTCGCGATAGGCTAGGACAAGGTAAGTTTGTATGAAGCACCAGCTGCTTGCAACAATCAAGGTAGGATTAAACAGAAGAGGATCGTTGAATGTATCAAGATGAAGTAAAGACGGTAACCCTTGGTACGTTTTTCTCTGATTCAAATCTAAGTAAGCACTTGAAAATTATTGACCCGTTCTGAAGTATGTGGTATGCTGTAGAATCCAATCGCAACTTCCGAACTACTGCAAGAGTCTGGCCTTGTCACAATGAATCGTGTGCCGCCTTTGGCCACGTGATGGGACGGATTGCAAGCGAGGAGAGGAGGAGGAGAGGAGGAGGAGGAGAAGGGTTTGAGGGGAAGACGGAGGGAGGGATGAGATAGTAGTTTTGAAGGAGGATGCGCGAAATGGAGGGCAGCAGAGCAATTGGAGGACGGGAAGGAAAACTAACAGATGGGGTGGTAGGTGACCTGGGGTGGGGTATTCAATTGAACCTAGGTTAGAGGTCTACCAGCTGACTAGGGTAGAGATGTATGTTTGAGGGGTGGTGGTGGACAATCTAGGGTGGTATCTCAAAACTTTGAGGTACCCTTTCAACATGGAAATTCCATGGGACTTTGGTAGGTAGAGGTGGTAGGGACGCATTCCAAGGGGGTCGTAAGGGTACCGGATTGTACCCTTGAAGAGGGGTAGGGTGCTACTGTGGTTGAGATTGCATCGGAGTAGGTGCACGCATAAACAGGCCTAGCATTGGACTAGGGGTGATCCCAAGCAAATAGTCCAGAGCTGGTAGGTCGTGGAAAGGAGGGGTACTTTTGAGGAGGATCGTAAATACATGATAGGGGTTCTTTTCAATAGGAAGGGTAATGTGAGTGTGCAAATAAACAGTGGAAGCCTGAGGTAGGGGTAGGGTGATCGAAACCGAGGGGTCGCATCGTAGCGACTGCAGGGGTTTTTTAGTTGTAGCTGTAGGATATCCGTACAAAAAGTACAATCTAAAAAGCAAAACTGCACCCTAAATTCAAGGACATACACCCGCAGTACTTGTACCATGAAGATGAAATGTACCATCTGCCAAAAGAATTCAGTTTTATACCTTCGTATACCGTACAAATGATAGATCCGACCAGATGTAGTGGGAGATACCTTCTTCGAATCGGAATAAATACTATAAAACCCAACACTGTCTCGTACTGATTTTTAACTTAACTTTGAGTAAAAGGTCATGAGTTCGTGAGCAATCATCCGGCCGGGCGGGGCTGCTAGCGTGGGGTCTATCATAAGAAGTTTTGTTGTAGAGTCTACTTGCCCCAGTGATGTCCGTACTATAAAATTCTACCAAGAAAGTCTAGTTGTAATATTATTAAATAGTCTTAAAACTTTGTTTGAGCCGTCCCCCAGCCAGTACACCTGGAGGAGATCTCGCATTTTAAAATTGTAACATATCAATAATTTGAGAATAAAAATGTCTTTTAAAAGTCGATCTCGATTGTCCTCGTACTGATTTTTAACTTAACTTTGAGTAAAAAGGTGAAGGTCGCATGTTTCCTCACACCGTCAGGACTCGGTTGAATTGTCAGTGAGTGATCCCCCGGGCCCGCCGCCGCGGCCGGCCCCGGATGCCGCCGTTGAACCAGTTATGACGGTTTCGGACGCCTGGATTGAAGTGCCGCACTACTACCCTCAAGTATCTCAAACTTTAGAGGGGGTGGAGGGTGTAAAAAGACCTTACTATGACCATGGGTACTACCCGACGAGAGGCAGAAGGGGTGAGTTGGTAGGGGTGGGGTTGAGCACGTGGAGGGGGTTTCCGTGGTATGGGGGGGGGTGGGGGGTTGGCAACGTGCGTCCGAAACGGCGATTTGAGAGCTCCATGACCAACATCGCTTCACCCTCGCACCTCCTCGTCCTCGTCCTCGTCCTCCTCGTCCTCGGAGTGTCTGTCTCAGCATTGGATGGATTCTCATCGCCGGCACAGTTTCCTGGTTCTAGATTCTTAATTGAGACCGAGTCGCCGAAGAAGTCCTTCGTTGCTGCGAGAAGGGCCAGGATTGAAGATCATGCTCCGCTCTCCCTCAAAGGCGGTGCGCCCTTCGATCGAAAGACCTTCACAGCAAGTACCTGCCTCAGAGACCATATTGATATAATGAAAGCAATCCCTGGAATTTATGATGCATATGCGGGTCCAAATCGCCTTGATCCGAAGACCATTGAGGCAATCATGTTGGCCGTGAATTCCGTGAATTCATGTCCTTACTGCACAGGATTGCATTGCGAGCTTGGTAGAATGGCAGGTCTAAAGGATGATACCAAAAGAATCAACGAAGCTAAAACGAGCAAAGAGCTACAGAAGGTAACCAATGATAAGATGGTGAATTTCGCGCGCAAATTTGGTGAATACAACGGACGAGGAGCATGCTTCGAAGCTGAGTATCAGGAGCTTGTGAAATCTGTGGGAAAGGGCAAGGCCAATGCAATCAAGTCACTGTGTTGGTTCCTTCACTGGGGGAGCATTTCCGGCAATACGCTGTTGTCATTTTATCGAGGGAGGTTGTCAGGAAATCCCAAGAAGGGATCCAATCTCATCTTCGAGATTCTCTTCGCCCTGTATTACACACCTTTGTACCTGTTGATAACTGCAACGACCTGCATATTGAAGGTCTTTCCGGCAAATGTTCCCCGTGTGTTGAGTATGAGTATGGGGTGCGTTCTGGCTACCATCGCCAGTTTGAAGATCGTGCCCATGGGTATCCTTGGTGTGGTGACCTCACCATTCAGGAAGAAGCAAGCATGATCTATATCGATAGCATGTAGCGAAGCAGTGATGTTGGTGAATTCAAGCGCTCTTCGTGTGGAGAAATAAATTGCAATAAACTACAGTGAAGTTGACTTCCGATTCAATTCAATGTCGAGTAAAGGGTGGGGTCCACTTTCCACAGTGCTGTTTTTCAGCTGTGAGTGGACAATGTGGTCTGGTTTGTGTGTATCGTTCAGAACTGGTCCTTAGAGAAAGAATTTTCGGGAAGCCGGGGCCAGAAGTTTTCTGAGATGCCCCTGCACCGCTCTGCTACCGTAGCAGATCGGTGTAGCGGCTATGATCATAGCGGCTATGATGCCCGGTGACGGTCTCATGGCCGCCATGCTAAGGCCGCCGCGGAACAGGCTGAGCCTCCGTCCAACCCATGCCCCCAACAAAAAAACTCCGCCAGCCGGCCGCGGTGCTCGGAGGTATCATGGCATGGCGGGGCGATGTCTGCAGTTACGACGAGGCGACAAACCGGAGGTTGGCGGCTTGCGGCACTGAGCTATCGGTGTATTACGGCAGCCATGGCTGATTCTTGAAGCCTGTGAAGGGAACGCGGCTATGAAACTTTAAGGCTTGTTCCAAGTCCGTTCAGGCTTAAATCAGTCTTCGGATCTCCCTTCTTTTCTCGGCCTTGTTTCGTCCTCCATGAGAATTACATTCCCTTTCTGCTTCTCTGGGCCTGACCCTTCTTCCTCATCGCAACATTCCTCAGCCTCCTAGTCTGAGAATGAAGCTCGTCACCACCAGCGTCGTCCGGGAGACCTGCTAAAAGTGCACTCCACAAACCCCTCTTCCTGCGCTCGTCCTCTTTTTTCTGGTTTACGTCCTTTCGCGGGCTATATCTTTTCTCTCTGGCGAATCGGCAGCCTGCCTTTCAACTCCTTACCTCTCTTATCCACATTCTCAATTCTAGCTTGACTAAGCACAACAGCAAGCACAAAACTCTCGACCTGTACGTCCAGGCCCATCCTTTGTTTCGAGTTGCACATCAGTGTCTTTGAGCGCTTTTTATTGCAACACGCATCATACAAGCGCATCCTGACACACACTCCACCCAGGCTGAGCACGCTTCCCAGCAAGACATGTTGTACCGCTGGGGGGTCATTCTGCTCAGGCTGCCAAGGAAAGAGTCTAGGTCTGACCATTCAATACAAACCACGCAGGGTGGTAGGACGTCCGCGGTAGATTCCTCCACCAACGTTGGACAGCCAGGAATCAACAGAGCCGGGGTCGACAGGAGTGGTGTTCGACTTGAAGGGAGAGGCGCTGTCGTCGAGGTTGTGCCATTCATTGTAGTTGACGTCAAAGCCTCTGCAGGTTGGGTCCCACTGAGAGAGCTCGCCGGGCTTGACGTATCCCTGCTGCCTGAAGTATTTGTCCCAAGACTTGCAGTAGACGCGGTTTGCTTGGCCCGACCAATCTTCCCATGCTCCACCCTTCCATGCGTAGATACCGGAGCCGCTGTTGTAGCCGGCAGCATTGAACTGAGGCTCGCCGGGAGGGTCTCCGTTAGCGAGGGCGTGATGGTGGGGGATCAGGATGTGGTGTAGCATGGCGAGCAGCGCCGAGGATGCAACTCGGAAGAGTCGCTGGGATGGTGGGTTTTAGTTGTACGGACTTGCCGGCACTGTCAATTATGTGTGGGTGGGGTCATTTTAATCACCATTGAAACCCCTGAATATTTGGAGATATTGGGGGTAGAGGTACAGTGCAGTGGAGGTGGGGTCACCGATCTTGTTATGCGGCACACACAAAATACCGGGGGGGTCACTCGATTGCGTCAGGAAGTTAAAAAACTACGAGTCATAGGGTGGGCAAGAGCTTCTCTGAGGGGGTACTAGCTAGGGAGCTCAACTTATCAGGGTCGGGGCGGAGGACCGGGAAGATGGGTAGGGTAGGGTACAAGGACCGGTGAAAAAAAAGATGACTAACACCCCAATTTAGACGGCTAACCTACTAGAGACGAGTAATCCGGGCCCGGCCCCCGGCGGCCCGTCCGGCGGCCCGTCACGGAGTGCCCGAGCCCCTCCGGGTGTCGTAGCGATCACTTGATTCTGATAAGTAAAATTATTGGTACAAATTGGCAAGGACGGAGGTTTAAAAAAAAATCATAAGAATCCGTAGTAGGGGTGAAGTGTGAAAAGTTTGGGGATTCGGGTGGTCCAAAAGTACCCGGTCATTATCCATGAAAAACTGAATTTTAGGGGGTAGGGTGATAATTCGTAGTAGGTAGAGGTGGCATTTATCAAACCGGGGAATATGACTGATATTTTTGACTGAGGGTAGTCATAGGTCCCTACCCCCTCAAGTATACCCAGATCTCTCACAAATTATAGGGTGTACATCAAGGGTCGGTCAGGAGACCACAGGGTGGGGGTCATACGGGTCGGAGGGATATGGTGATTGTGGGGAAAAGAAGCGCCCTGTGAGGTTTTATGGGGAACAATGGGAAGCGATGGAATGGAAAAAGTAGGACGAGGCAGTAGCGCTTGAGCTTGCAATCCGATGTTGCTTCATGAGCTCTCGTACTGGAGCAGGGATACCGATTGTGTATGCTGAGATGACAAATTGGAACGTTTGAATCAAAGCAAATGAACCACAAGTAGGAAGGATTGGTACAGAGCAAGCAACTTCATGCGCAGGTGTAGAGACGAAGCTGTATATTGGGAAAGAATGGCCGAAAAGATGATTGTCTGTCTGACTTTTTATGTTGAAGATTGTTGTCGAATGAAGCAGACCTGATCACTGCTGCTGGAAAGAAGAATCAGTGCGATTTGGTTCACACGGTCGAGAAGAATATGTCGGACGCTGCTGTCAAACAATTGTCAACGATCAGGTAAACAAGGATCGTGTGCGCGTATCGGAGATTCCAGCCTTGACTCTCGTGCTCTCTGATTGCAGAAGTAAGAGTCAAATGGAGAGCGACGATGGACGAGCAGATGGCAGAAGCAGTGGAGGGAAGGACACGAGCGTCTCACAAGACTCCTCGTCCTCTGGTCCTTTGCCGAGCGTCGACAAGTAAGCTCCCCAACGTCTTTGACCGTCCTCTGACTTAGTCCTTGTTCAGAAAGAGTACCTTGCAGGACTCCCATATGCAAGATGAGACGGCAGATTGTAACCTGAATGAGAACGATCCCGTGCAGTGCCTTCTCCACGATGTCTGCACGACCTTGGGGTTCGTCTATGCCGACCTCTGGCTGCGGCTGCCAGAGGAGGTCTTGTCGTCTTCCGAGCACGGAAGCGATTATGCAGACGCCACGAATCACTCAGAGCAAGATACATCGGTCACTGTGATTGTTTCAAGGTCTTAAATCTGACGCGTGATGGTAAAGACGAAGGGGGTAGGTGCTGAGTTCAGCAACTCTAGATCGAACCCGCGCAACTCCGATGCAAGGTCAAAGAGGAGCTTGAGCTACTTGCATGGAAAGAATGGAAGCAAATCACACTTTCCGAGTATTGGTGAGAGACGCACTGTCTATCCTTCGATGTTGTTTGATAGCATTTCTTACATCCTCAACAGTTTCCTTCGGACTTGTCTCGGAAGAGTCCCATGGCGTCGAAGCCCGGTGAGATGCCGGCAACCAGGTTGTCGGCCACTCACTGATGCTTGACTTACAGCAAGCATGCTGAGCTCACAAGAAATCTCTCGGACAAGTAGCTGAACGATCTGCGGCGGACAAGTCCTGACGCTCAGTTGTATCTGCACAGGTTGCGATGGTCCGGGCAGTCGTACCTTCACGATCTGATTCTGCAAATCGCAATGGACTCGCAGAGCTGCGACGATGTGCGTTGAGCTGATTGAGGTCTCGCGATGAGGTGAAGTCGCAGGACGTTCGCAGTCGCATCATGGCAATGGAGGAGGTTGCGCGCGACGACGTCTGCAGTTACGACGAGGGGAGGTTGGCGACGTGTGCGGCTTGAGGGGCATGACGTGTGATGTTTGTTTGGCTATCAGCGGGATCGCGGGCATGGCGTGGAGACAGCAGAAGCCTTTCTGGTACGACCTGGGGGAAGGAGATGGTGTAAGTGTGCGTGAAGCTGCTTGCGGTTTCGTCGTGAGTGGGGTGTGAGCAGGGGAGCAGACCCGACGGGGACGGAGAAGCTTTGTTTGACGCTCGTCTGTCCCTTGCAAATGTAAGAAGATGAGCAGCAAGTCGAGATTCTCCTCTCGATCCCCTATCTCGCCCTTGTCATCAGCGTTTACCTTCAAGTCAAAATCTAGCACACCACCACCTCCTCCTCTCCTCCTCTCCTCCTCCTCTCCCTCTCCCTCTCCCTCTTCCTCCTCTCGAAACTCCTGTCTACTTCTTCTTCTCCTCCTCCTCTTGTCCTTTCTCCTCTTCTCGCCCTTCCTCCTCCTCTCTGCTCCCACGATCTTCAAGTCGCTGCTGTACCGAATCCATATCTTAGGTTTGTCTTCCAGGGAATGTTTGATTTCTGTGTGGCTGTGCCTATCTCGCATCCTCTCTGGAACCATGTCATCGGGGTCATGATCTTGTATCATCTCGATAGCAATCAGTCTGCAAACGTCCGGCAGGTTGAACCAGCTCCTCCTCCTCCTCCTCCTCCTCCTGCTCTCCTCCTCCTCCTCCTCCTCCTCCTCCTCCTCCTCCTCGACCTTCTTTTGCTCTTTCTCTCCTTGTGCAGTGCTGTTTCTGCGCTCTGCCCTATCACAAGCTCCGGCATATCCTGCTGCTCACCTTTTGGCTCCTTTCCTTTCTCTCTTAACACAAGTGCTCCAGGGGTTCGCTCAGATGTCCAAGAGCGTCAAAGTTTTGGAGATTCTCGCTCAAGGATCCTGCGCTCTCTACTGGGCTTATCACTTGAGGGTCAGACACTCCTAGACTCTTACCTACGTCCTCCTCCTCCTTCCCTCCCTCCTTCTCTTCGCCACTCGTTCTCCTTCCTGGTTGCTCGTTCGCTTCCTGATTGTCTTTGCCCTCGCCCTCCACGCCTCCGTCCTCATCCTCTGTTTCGTTCCTTCAATGGTGATTGTCCTAAAGCTTTTTCGCAGCTCGCGAATTTGTCTTGGATTCAACTTACACAGCAACGAGAGCAGATGCAGGTTGTTCTTGTTACTCATTTCCTTCCAGCTACACCCAGTCTCCTCCTCCGACTCTTTCTTGTCCTCCGTCCCCTTGTCCCCCAATCGTTTCCTTCTTCACTCCCCCGTCTCCCCCTTCTCTTCCTTTCCTCCTCCTAATCTCTGTCTCGCCTCTCATTCTTCTTCTGAATATTTTCGTGTCTCCTCTCTTACATTCTCGCTAGGTTGCGTGTGAAGTCAGTATCGGTTCGCAGAAGGACTCCAACCTCCCACCTGCTGCTCCAAAAGCCCTCGGCAAACGTTTTCGGCATTTTTGGCGCAAATATCTCCGAAAGTTCAAAGGACAGGTGAAGTGAAGGAACAGGAGTAGACATGAGGAGGAGGGGAGGGGGAGGTAGGGGGAGGGGGAGGGGAAGGAGCAGCAGCAGCAGCATGAGGATAGGCAGGAGATGAAGAAAAGTTTGTGATGACGAGATGGTAGAACGCAACTCCGCCTGGTCCTCATACTTGGCAATATTCCCTGTGGTCGTTCATCGGAACTTACTTGAGTCTCTTCATTCTGACGGTGAGAGCGGCGGAGGCGAAAGCGAAGCACGATGGCCATGAGACATTTGCTGTTTGTTCACATATCTGCTGTATGTTATGATATCTGTTGTTTTTCTTCATATCTGCTGTTTGTCCGGATATTTGTTGTTTTGCTTCTGATGTTTGCTGTTATTTCTGATATGTGACGTTTTGTTCCACTTCCGATTTCCGTTTCTCTTTGTTCGTTGCCACAGTCTGTCAGCGATTGGATGAAAGGAAACACGAGCTACGGAGAATATTTCAAGCAAGACACTGATGGTGAGTTGACGAATTACACACACAGGACTCTGTTCTTCCTCCTTCTCTTTCCTGTACTCCCTCCTCCACTTCCCACGTCTGGCTTCTATCCGCAGCTCGTTCGTTACTTCGCCTTTTCGCTCCATTCTCATCCAGAATATTCTCCAGAATAATCTCCTCTCCTCCTCCTCCTCCTCTTCCCCCTCCCTCCCCCTCCTCGACCCCTTCTCCCCTTCCTCCTCCTTGTTTCTCCTCCGCGACCTCAGTATCTTGCCCTGACTTGATTGCCAAGGAAACTGGGTGCAACACACCGGCTACGTCTTCCTCCTCATAAACTCCATGGGCGCAGTTTGTGCGATGATTGCAGCAGCTCCCGTGTCACCCTTAGCACAGGTCTGTTTGCAGTGGGATGAGGATGATGAGGATGATGATGAGGATGATGAGGATGATGATGATGATGATGGAGATGATGATGATGATGGAGATGATGACGATGATGATGATGATGATGATGAAGATGAAGATGACGATGATGGAGATGATGGAGATGATGATGATGATGATGATGATGATGATGATGATGGAGATGATGATGATGATGATGATGATGATGGAGATGATGACTATGATGGAGATGATATCTGCTGTGTTGGTGGCGATCATTATGAGACAATTCACACTTCGTTTCACACTGACAATTTATTTCAGCCAAGAAACGTATTGTTCGGGCACATCATTGCAGTTACTGTCTCTATCTCTCTCGTACCCTCTTCCTCTTCCTCTTCCTCCCGTCCCTCACGCGTGTCCTCCAGGACTATCTGTGCAACCCGAGCTACCTCACCGCCGTCCCTCAGGTGGGTCAGAAGCCGGCAGCAGCTGGGCTTTGACGGCTGTCGACAGTGGATCATCGCTGCTCTTGCTCCTGCTCTTTCCATCGGCCTGCAGGCCAAGGTGCGAAGATGGGGAGGAGGAGGGGAAAGGAGGGAAGCAGGCAGGGAGGAAGGCGGAGGCGGGAAGGAAGGGTTTAGGAGGAGAGGAACGGAGGGAGGAAGGCAGGAGCAAGGAGGAGGGAGGAGAAAGTGGGGGAGAGAAGGAGTTGAGCTGGACTTCAGCTGGGGATCATACATCCTCCCTCGTGCTCCGCGAGTTGCATCTACACCATGGGGCTGCCGTACGTGAAGAATGTTGTGAGTGACGAGATGAGAGGAACGGGGAGGAGGAGACAAGGGATTGACTGCAACTGCAGGGATGGTTGTTCTTGGCCTGCCCGATCATATCAGACTGTGTGGTGATGGCATATACTATACTTTTTGCTCCCTCTCTTTCCTGGCGTTTCGCTCTCGTTCCTCTCCTCCGTGCACCGCTCGTTTCCCTCCTCCCCTCCTACCAACTTACCTCTTCCCCTCCCACCTTCCTCCCTTTCCCCTTCCTCCTCTCCTCATTTTCCCCTCTCCCCTCGTCGTCTGTCATCGTCTTCTCGTTTTGCTCCATGGCCTCCTGTAACCATGCTTCCGCTCTCTTACAGATCCTCATATGCTTCGCCGTTTTGTTCAACAATCTTTCCAAGGACAGAAGTTATCCGCTCTACTGGTGATGACAGAGAGCGAGGAAGAAGAAAATTTTTGTAAGAATTCAACAGTGTTTTTCATCATCAGCGTTATCAACCCGAACTCGTCTCGCTGTCTTTCTGTTGATCCTTACTTGTCTCTCGCCGCGCCCTCTCCCGTCCTCCCGTCCTCTCTCCCCGATACTTTCCTGCTCCTCCTCTCAGTCGTTCACAGCCTGGAATAACCTCTCAGAGCCCCCCCAGACAAAGTCCATCCCATTGGAAAATAAAGATCGGAACAAGATAGCACCCTGCCATACCCCCCCATGTTGTCCCTGGCGTTCCTGATTACACCGACAGACCACCCTGGATTGCGGCCGA